GGCAGTTTCTGTGGTGTTTTGGGGGCCATTTTGAGTGGGGGGGGGGTTGGTTGTTTTTTAGGCAGTTTCTGTGGTGTTTTGGGGGCCATTTTGAGTGGGGGGGGGGTTGGTTGTTTTTTAGGCAGTTTCTGCTATGTTCTTTGGGCCATTTTTGCCCATTTCTCAGGCCATTTACAGTCTGTTTTTTGGGTCATTTATTTGTGCTGTTTTGTCCGTGTCTTGAGCAATTTTTATGGGCATTTCTGGGGCATTTGCTGGGGCATTTTCAGGCTGTTGTCAGGCCAAATTTTGGAACGTTTTTGGCCATTTTTTAAGCTGTTTCCGAGGTGGGTTTTGGCTCATTTTTGGGTGTTTCTTGGGCCATTTTTGGGGCTGAATTTTGGGACTCTTTCAGCTGTCTTCTGGGCCATTTCCAAGGTGGTTTATTGGGTGGTTTGGGGCTATTTTGGGGGCGTTTTCCAGGCTGTTTCTGGGAGGGTTTCTTTGCCATATTTGGACTGTTTTGGGCTGTTTTTTAGGACCAATTTTCAGACTGTTTTTCAGATCATTTTTCAGGCTGGTTTTGAGGCCATTTTTCAGACTGTTTCTGGGAATTTTTTTGGGCCATTTTTGGCTGTTTTCTAGACCACAAACATGGGTGGGGGCGGGGTCAGCCAATGGTGGGATTAGCTGGTTCACCGAACTGGGCAGAATTTAAACAACTGGTTTGCCTGAACCGATCTGAACCAGCTGAATCCTACCTCTGCCCAGAGGCCACCCTGGACCCAATGGGATCTGGTCAGCTCCTCTAGGCATTGCTTACTGCTATTCCAGAGGTGGGCTGGCTGGCCAAGGGGGTATCCATTGGTGTCCACTCTCCACAAGTCTAGTTGCCTCACCTTGGTTTTGCCCAGGTCTTTGCCGAACGCGGTCAAAGAGGGGGCTGGTCATGGTCCCCTCACCACTTGGGTCTCCTGAGATATGCCATGACCATCGTCTAGCCGGAGGTTCAGGTTGGCCAAGCAGAATTAGGTGGGTGGACCCACCTGCTGTTGACTGAACTGCAACAGGGCCCTCAGTGTGGCTGCTGCCTCCTCCCGCAACTCCCCATGCTGTCAGGACCCAACTGGCCTCACCAAACCGCTCCCAAAGCAGCTCTATTGTTTGACTGCCAGGGGTGGTGGAATAGCTCCATTCCCCGACATCATCACCCAAAGACAGGCACGTCTCCTGCCACCACGTCAAATAGCTGCTAGACAGATTTTATGTAGATAGCAGCGTCCCGAACCAGCGGCTGCCAATGAACTCCTCCACCATTCTCTGATGCATCTCATTTCTTGCCCTGCATCCTGGACCAATACCACATGGGCTAGCTTTACATATCCGGGAGCCTCACACTTCTTGGGGCATACATCCAACTGGGTAGCCCTATCGTCTTGCACTGGAAGGATTGCCATTGGGGATACCATACCCAGTGCTATGATGAAACTGGGTCACTGTGTGCCCCCATCTGCATTTCTATCAGCTCGGTGACAAACATCACTGGCATCCCCCCTGCTACATATCTGTCCAGCTGGCAAAAGGCCACCGGCACCCCATCAGTTGCATTTTGAAAAGGATGTTTGGGACAACAGCTTGAATGCCTCATCTAGTATATCCAGTTTGTTCAAACATGACTTAGATGAAGAGATTGGAAGAGAACTCATCAAATTTGCAGGTGACACCCAGTTGTGGGGAACAGCCAATACTTTAGACCCGTAATGACAAGCCTATAGCACATGTGCCCGAATGTGGAACCATGTCGGCTGGCACGTGCAGCATCGCCCATTCCTCTTCTGGATTTCTGGCACACGTGCACATGTGACAATCAGCTTTTCTTAACGTGTGTGGCAGTCCCAGAAACTGGAAGTGCTGGTCTTCGGGTTTCTGTTGTGTGCATGTGCAAT